ACCTCTCACCCAAGGCCAGGGCTGTTTCTGAGACTGCAAGCGGGAAGGGGAGAGCAGGCATGCTCAGCACATGGTAGTATGCTCCGCGGGCGAGGGAGAGTGTGCGAGGCTGGAGGAAGGCTCGCGACAGGGAAACCTCCCACCAAAAGCCCTCCCCTGCTGTGATTTAACAGCTTTTCAGCCAAGGGGAAGGCTGTTTCTGAGACTGCAAGCAGGGAGAGGAGAGCAGGCATGCTCAGCGCATGGCAGCATGCTCCACGAACGAGGGAGAGGGTCCGAGACTGGAGGAAGGCTCGCGGCAGGGAAACCTAACATCAAAAGCCCTCCACTGCTATGACTCGACAGCCTCTCACCCACAGCTAGGGCTGTTTCTGAGACTGCAAGCAGGGAGGGGAGAGCAGGCATGCTCAGCACATGGCAGCATGCTCCGCGGGTGAGGGAGAGTGTGCGAGGCTGGAGGAAGGGTCACAGCAGGGAAATCTCCCACCAAAAGCCCCCCACTGCTGTGACTCGACAGCCTCTCACCCACAGCCAGGGCTGTTTCTGAGACTGCAAGCAGGGAGGGGAGAGCAGGCATGCTCAGCACATGGCAGCATGCTCCGCGGGTGAGGGAGAGTGTGCGAGGCTGGAGGAAGGGTCACAGCAGGGAAATCTCCCACCAAAAGCCCCCCACTGCTGTGACTCGACAGCCTCTCACCCACAGCTAGGGCTGTTTCTGAGACTGCAAGCAGGGAGGGGAGAGCAGGCATGCTCAGCACATGGCAGCATGCTCCGCGGGTGAGGGAGAGTGTGCGAGGCTGGAGGAAGGGTCACAGCAGGGAAATCTCCCACCAAAAGCCCCCCACTGCTGTGACTCGACAGCCTCTCACCCACAGCTAGGGCTGTTTCTGAGACTGCAAGCAGGGAGAGGAGAGCAGGCATGCTCAGCGCATGGCAGCATGCTCCACGAACGAGGGAGAGGGTCCGAGACTGGAGGAAGGCTCGCGGCAGGGAAACCTAACATCAAAAGCCCTCCACTGCTGTGACTCGACAGCCTCTCACCCACAGCTAGGGCTGTTTCTGAGACTGCAAGCAGGGAGGGGAGAGCAGGCATGCTCAGCACATGGCAGCATGCTCCGCGGGTGAGGGAGAGTGTGCGAGGCTGGAGGAAGGGTCACAGCAGGGAAATCTCCCACCAAAAGCCCCCCACTGCTGTGACTCGACAGCCTCTCACCCACAGCCAGGGCTGTTTCTGAGACTGCAAGCAGGGAGGGGAGAGCAGGCATGCTCAGCACATGGCAGCATGCTCCGCGGGTGAGGGAGAGTGTGCGAGGCTGGAGGAAGGGTCACAGCAGGGAAATCTCCCACCAAAAGCCCCCCACTGCTGTGACTCGACAGCCTCTCACCCACAGCCAGGGCTGTTTCTGAGACTCCAAGCAGGGAGGGGAGAGCAGGCATGCTCAGCACATGGCAGCATGCTCCGCGGGTGAGGGAGAGTGTGCGAGGCTGGAGGAAGGGTCACAGCAGGGAAATCTCCCACCAAAAGCCCCCCACTGCTGTGACTCGACAGCCTCTCACCCACAGCTAGGGCTGTTTCTGAGACTGCAAGCAGGGAGAGGAGAGCAGGCATGCTCAGCGCATGGCAGCATGCTCCACGAACGAGGGAGAGGGTCCGAGACTGGAGGAAGGCTCGCGGCAGGGAAACCTAACATCAAAAGCCCTCCACTGCTATGACTCGACAGCCTCTCACCCACAGCTAGGGCTGTTTCTGAGACTGCAAGCAGGGAGAGGAGAGCAGGCATGCTCAGCGCATGGCAGCATGCTCCACGAACGAGGGAGAGGGTCCGAGACTGGAGGAAGGCTCGCGGCAGGGAAACCTAACATCAAAAGCCCTCCACTGCTATGACTCGACAGCCTCTCACCCACAGCTAGGGCTGTTTCTGAGACTGCAAGCAGGGAGAGGAGAGCAGGCATGCTCAGCGCATGGCAGCATGCTCCACGAACGAGGGAGAGGGTCCGAGACTGGAGGAAGGCTCGCGGCAGGGAAACCTAACATCAAAAGCCCTCCACTGCTATGACTCGACAGCCTCTCACCCACAGCTAGGGCTGTTTCTGAGACTGCAAGCAGGGAGGGGAGAGCAGGCGTGCTCAGCACAATTACAATACAATACAATAAGCCTTTATTGGCATAACATGGCAGAGAGTATAAAACACAGTACGCGTAATAGAAAAGGGGCTTCTCATTTGTTACACATTCAGTTTGCAGACTTCATTCAACTTAACTTAACTTAATCCAGACAAGACAGAGGTACTCCTGGTTAGTCGCAAGGCCGAACAGGGTATAGGGTTACAGCCTGTGTTAGATGGGGTCGCACTCCCCCTGAAGACGCAGGTTCGCAGTTTGGGTGTGATCCTGGACTCATCGCTGAGCCTGGAACCCCAGGTTTCGGCGGTGACCAGGGGAGCTTTCGCACAGTTAAAACTTGTGCGCCAACTGCGACCGTACCTTGGGAAGTCTGACTTAGCCACGGTAGTCCACGCTCTGGTTACATCCCGCCTTGATTACTGCAACGCTCTCTACGTGGGGTTGCCTTTGAAGACAGCCGGAAGCTCCAATTAGTCCAACGGGCGGCAGCCATGATACTAACAGGAGCGGGGCGCAGGGAGCATACAACTCCTCTGCTGCACCAGCTCCACTGGCTGCCGATTTGCTACTGGGCTCAATTCAAAGTGATGGCGTTGGCCTTTAAAGCCCTAAACGGTTCTGGCCCAACTTATCTATCCGAACGTATCTCGGCCTATCAGCCCACCAGGACCCTAAGATCTTCTGGAGAGTCCCTGCTCTCTATCCCGCCGGCTTCACAAGTGCGGCTGGCGGGAACGAGAGACAGGGCCTTTTCTGTGGTGGCCCCTCGGCTTTGGAACACCCTCCCTATAGAGGTACGATCAGCCTCCTCGCTGATGGTGTTTCGGAAGAGATTGAAAACATGGTTGTTTAAACAAGCATTCGGTTAATCCGTTGCAATCGAATCTTGATGACTAAAGGACTGGTAATCATAGACGACGAATATCAGATTGTGACTTTAGTTATGAGATGCATGGGATTATTATTGGTGGCCCAATAATTTGTATTGTATACGTGTTTTATGTTTTAAATTGAATATTGTTTTTAATTGTTGTAAACCGCAATGAGTCGCCGACTTAGGCTGAGATATTAGCGGTATACAAGCGTATAAATAAATAAATAAATAAATAAATAAATTCATTCATTCAGGAATCTTGCCACTGAAAGGCAGCAGCTAAAGTCCTGGCAATTTAAAAGCATAATCACTTTGTCGGAATCGCTGCGGTTCTTCAGTGAATCTATGGCTTGTGTTAGCAGGCTGGATCTTAGCTCCTGGTAAAGTGGACAGTGCAGGAGAATCTGCGGTATGGAATCTAGCTGTCCTGTGCTACAGGGGCAAACCCTCTTGTCACTCGGTAGGCCATTGAGTCTTCCTCTATGGAGCGGAGATGGCATGATGTTAAATCTAGCCAGCATGTAGGCTCTTCTGTAAGAGGGGTTGGTGAGCTCTGAGATGTAAAAGGCTGGATTTCCCTGTATGTATGGAATTGCCAATCTCGATAAAATAGTAAAGAGTAGAGACATCAGACTGGCAACAAAGATCCATTGCATAGTCAAAGCCATGGTATTCCCTGTAGTAACCTACGGATGTGAGAGCTGGACCTTAGGGAAGGCTGAGCGAAGGAAGATCGATGCTTTTGAGCTGTGGTGTTGGAGGAAAGTTCTGAGAGTGCCTTGGACTGCGAGAAGATCCAACCAGTCCATCCACCAGGAAATAAAGCCCGACTGCTCACTGGAGGGAAGGATACTAGAGACAAAGTTGAAGTACTTTGGCCACATCATGAGGAGACAGCAAAGCCTAGAGAAGACAATTATGCTGGGGAAAGTGGAAGGCAAAAGGAAGAGGGGCCGACCAAGGGCAAGATGGATGGATGGCATCCTTGAAGTGACTGGACTGACCTTGAAGGAGCTGGGGGTGGTAACGGCCGACAGGGAGCTCTGGCGTGGGCTGGTCCATGAGGTCACGAAGAGTCGGAGACGACTGAACGAATGAACAACAACAAAGTGGACAGTGCAGGAGAATCTGCGGTATGGAATCTAGCTGTCCTGTGCTACAGGGGCAAACCCTCTTGTCACTCGGTAGGCCATTGAGTCTTCCTCTATGGAGCGGAGATGGCATGATGTTAAATCTAGCCAGCATGTAGGCTCTTCTGTAAGAGGGGTTGGTGAGCTCTGTGATGTAAAAGGCTGGATTTCCCTGTATGTATGGAATTGCCATGTTAATGGGTGAGCAGGATTTATTTGCCAAGCTCAGCAATTGGTTGTGGTCCCTTTCTAGCAGCCTCCTTTTGATGAGGGGAAAAATCTCGGAGAAAGATAGTGGGGTCAGGAAATCGCTGTCGTAGCCCAATTCCCCGATCTTTGCTAGGACAGTTGAGCACCATTTGGAGTGGTGAAGTTCGCTCAAGGTGAGTTGAGTCAGAGAGTCGCTGGGACTTTGATAGTGTATAGATAGCCAAAATTTAATGACGATTAGCCAGATAGTAGCCTCAATAGAATATTGCCCTGATTCAAGGCAAAGAACTGCATACGGGACACAGTTGGGGACACCATATAATTTGTGTGAGTTTTCCGGGCTGTAGAAGATTTTTGGCGTGCTCAGCACATGGCAGGGTGCTCCACGAACGAGGGAGAGGGTGCGAGGCTGGAGGAAGTCTTGCGGCAGGGAAACCTCCCACCAAAAGACCTCCCCTCTTGTGACTGGACAGCCTCTCACCCAAGGCCAGGGCTGTTTCTGAGACTGCAAGCAGTCTCCCTAAATCCCATTACTGGGAAAACAGGATACAAATAAATAAAATAATGGCAATAACAACAAACCCCAGCATTCTGCACCACCTGCAATGCTGGCAATGTCGGATCAGAAGCCCACCCAGACCAACTTTCCAAGATGGCTCACCTTTGCCGGTATAGAGGTCTACTTCCACGGTGGGATTTCCACGGGAGTCGAGGATTTCGCGAGCGTGGATCTTGAGGACAGACATCGTGTTTACCTGGAGGAAAAAGGGAAGAGAAGACTGACGTTAAAGTTTCCAAAATACATACAGTCAACGATATACCCAAATCAAAGGTGCGGGAAGCAACTTAAGGGCCGGGCTAGCACAGCGGGTTAAACCGCCAGCTGCGGAAAATCTTGCTGACCGGAAGGTTGGCAGCTCAAAGTCCCGGGTCAGGGTGAGCTCCCGCTGTCAGCCCTAGTTTCTGCCTACCTGGCAGTATTAAAAGAACAATATGAGTAGATCAATAGGTACCGCTTTGGCGGGGAGGTAAAAGCCACCCTGAAAAAGATGCCGACAAAAAACCGACCATGGACGATTGGCTCTCAACGTCCAGCCCAGCTGAATGCCGGAGATGAAAAGAGGGAAGCCTTTGCCTTTGTTTGTGTGTTGTTTGTCTCTGTCAATTGTATAAAACATTGAATGTTTGTCATATATGTACCTGTAATCCACTCGGAGTCAACTCTGGGAGGTAGAGTGGGATATAAATAACGCATATTATTGTCATTATCATCATTATTATTACTTACACCGACATGAAACCAGTTCCTATTCAGTATCGGCGCCACCGACTTTCTCCAGAGGTGTTGAACTACAGATCCCATTATTTCCCAAGGACACACAAGCTAAGGAGAATTGGAATGGCAGTCTAATACATCGGGAGCTCACTGGCTTGGAGCCGTTGGCCTGACAAAATTAAAACATTCCAGTTTACAAATCTTCAAGCTTCTAGTCCACAAGAACGTCTGCATGGGACCACGGACCTATGCTTGCCAATTGAGCGGGAGAAGAAGCGAGAAGCAGTAATGAAAAGTGGAAAATTATTATTATTATTATTATTATTATTTGAAACACTTCCTGTTGTCTCTCCCCCGTTCTTAACTAGGAGTCGTTTGTAAGTTGGATGCTTGTAGCTCAAGGACTGCTTGTAGATATAATTCAAGCATCACGGGTGGGAAGTGAAAAGCCAAGCTTTATGAAGGTCAAACTCTTTAGACCAGGCATCCTCAAACTACGGCCCGCGGGCCGAATACGGCCCTCAAAGGCCATTTGCCTGGCCCTCACTCATATAATATTATTATTTTACTATTAGCATAGCACAATATTAGTATTATATATATTACTATATTGTACTATACTGCAATATTGATAATATTACATATAATATGATTATTATTAGTTATTATGATCAATATTATAGGTATAAACAATCTATATAAATAAAAATGTGATGTTTGTTTGTGGGATTAACATAACTCAGAAACCACTGGACAAATTGACACCAAATTTGGACACAAGACACTTATCAGGCCAACGAGTGTCCATCACTCATAAACGCACACACACACACACACACACACACACACACACACAAAACCCCAGTGGAACAGACTTAAAAAACCCCAAAATACACCATACATACATATACACATACACTCATATACATACTCATATGCATATGCACATGCACATATTCATACACAAACACGTATATATGCACAAATTACACATATACACACATATACATACACACGCACACATATACACAATATGAATGTACACATAGATACACACACATATATACACCCACATAAATATATATATATGCAAACACACATATATAAACAAAAATATACATACACACATATATACACAATATGCATGTACACATAGATACACACACATATATACACCCACATATATATATATGCAAACACACATACATACACAAATATATACATATACACACACACACATACACACATATATACACAATATGCATGTACACATAGAGATATACACCCACACACAGAGACACACACATATATATATATGCAAACACACATATATAAACAAATATATACACACACACAAAACACATATACACAGATTGGGCCACAGCAACGCAGGGCTGGGGACGGCTAGTATATTATATTATTACCATAGCACAATAATAGTCGCATACTACTAAGAGGGAGTAAATAAGGCTATTATACATTACACTATACTGCAATATTATTAATAATATTGCCTGCAATATATGATTATTATTAGTATTATATTATTACCACTGCACAGTAGCACAGTAATAGTTGCAAAATACTAAGAGGGTGTAAATAAGGCTATTATATATTACTACATTGTACTATACTACAATATTAGTAATATTACATGTAATATATGATTATTAGTAGTATTATATTATTACCATGGCACAGTAGCACAGTAATAGTAGCATACTACTAAGAGGAAGTAAATAAGGCTATTATATATTACTATATTGCACTATACTGCAATATTATTAGTAATATTACATGTAATATATGATTATTAGTAGTATTATATTATTACCATGGCACAGTAGCACAGTAATAGTAGCATACTACTAAGAGGAAGTAAATAAGGCTATATATTACTACATTGCACTATACTGCAATATTATTAGTAATATTACATGTAATATATGATTATTAGTAGTATTATATTATTACCATGGCACAGTAGCACAGTAATAGTAGCATACTACTAAGAGGAAGTAAATAAGGCTATTATATATTACTATATTGCACTATACTGCAATATTATTAGTAATATTACATGTAATATATGATTATTAGTAGTATTATATTATTACCATGGCACAGTAGCACAGTAATAGTAGCATACTACTAAGAGGAAGTAAATAAGGCTATTATATATTACTATATTGCACTATACTGCAATATTATTAGTAATATTACATGTAATATATGATTATTAGTAGTATTATATTATTACCATGGCACAGTAGCACAGTAATAGTAGCATACTACTAAGAGGAAGTAAATAAGGCTATATATTACTACATTGCACTATACTGCAATATTATTAGTAATATTACATGTAATATATGATTATTAGTAGTATTATATTATTACCATGGCACAGTAGCACAGTAATAGTAGCATACTACTAAGAGGAAGTAAATAAGGCTATATATTACTATATTGCACTATACTGCAATATTATTAGTAATATTACATGTAATATATGATTATTAGTAGTATTATATTATTACCATGGCACAGTAGCACAGTAATAGTAGCATACTACTAAGAGGAAGTAAATAAGGCTATTATATATTACTATATTGCACTATACTGCAATATTATTAGTAATATTACATGTAATATATGATTATTAGTAGTATTATATTATTACCATGGCACAGTAGCACAGTAATAGTAGCATACTACTAAGAGGAAGTAAATAAGGCTATATATTACTACATTGCACTATACTGCAATATTATTAGTAATATTACATGTAATATATGATTATTAGTAGTATTATATTATTACCATGGCACAGTAGCACAGTAATAGTAGCATACTACTAAGAGGAAGTAAATAAGACTATTATATATTACACTATACTGCAATATTATCAATAATATTACATGCAATATTACAGGCCCACACTTCCCATTGAAATTCTAATGAGTTTATATCTGTTAAAAGCAATACAATAATTAAAGTGGTTTTTGCACTACAGATATGTGCAGTGTGCATTGGAATTCATTCATGTTTTTCTTTTCCAAATTATAAAACGGCTCTCCAACAATTTGAGGGATTGTGCACGCCAATCACAAGAAATCCAGATGGGTATTTAATGCGATACGAAGCTGGCCGAGCTCAAGCACGCAATATATTTTGCAGCCTGGCTGTCCAGATTGTGCAACTGGGGCCGCGTGGCATTAGTGCCGCTCCACGGATGCCCTTGAGTGGCGACCTCCCCGTAAGCCCCGCCCCTTCCTTCCTTCCTGTTTTGCACGAACAAACGCATCGGATGCAGGGCAGCCGGTTTCCCTTTTCACCCTCTTTTTCAAGCCCCTTCTAGTTGCATTCCAGCTGCCAATCAAGGAGGAATCTTGGAGAAACTTCAAGACTGGGACCCCTTTAACTACTTTTTCCAATGATGGGGGAAATGTCAATCTAAAGGACATGGGGTAAAAACAAACATTCACAGGATTCTTTCTGTAGCCGAGTAAAGTGAATTTCAATCACAGATTATATTAAAGAAGAACACTCAGAACCTGGGAAATTCCAGACAGGAAACAATCAGGGCCAGCTAACACCTCCCAACAAAGGATTCCCCTCAGGCAGGAAGGAGCCAGGCTTTGAAGCTCCCAAGGCCATTCAACGCTACCCAAGGTGGTCAACTGCTATTTCACACTTGTCTCAAACAGACAAAAGAGTTCTTTCTCCCGCCCTCAGAGGGTGCCCCCAGGCAACAATGGCCAGGCTAACTCTACTCAGATACCCTCACTGATTGACTTCGCAGCTGCAAGGCCATTCAATGCTAATCAAGGTGACCAACTGCAACATTCACGCTTGCCTCCAACACACAAGAGTTTGTTCTCCCACCCCAGACAACTGAAAAGTCAATCAGTGAGGGTATCTGCATAGAAGTAGCCTGGCCTTTGTTGCCTGGAGGCACCCTCTATAGAATAATTTCCAGGGGAGAAAGAACTCTTTGTCTGTTTGAGACAAGTGTGAATGTTACAATTGCCACCTTGATTAGCATTGAATAGCCTTGCAGTTGCAAAGTCAATCAGTGAGAGTATCTACAAAGAGGTAGCCTGGCCATTGTTGCCTGGAGGCACCCTCTGTGGAATAATGTCCAGTGTGGGAGAAAGAACTCTTGTTTGTTTGAGGCATGTGCAAATGTTGCAATCGACCACCTTGATTAACATCGAATGCCCTTGCAGCTGCAAAGTTAATAAGTGAGGGTATCAGCATAGAGGTAACCTGGCCTTTGTTGCCTGGAGGCACCCTCTGTGGAATAATGTCATGGGAGGGAGAAAGAACATTTGTCTGTTTGAGGCAAGCCACCTTGATTACCATCGAATGGCCTTGAAGCTGCAAAGTCAATCAGTGAGGGTATCTGCATAGTGAGGGTATCTGCATAGAGGTAGCCTGGCCTTTGTTGCCTGGAGGCACCCTCTGTGGAATAATGTCATGGGAGGGAGAAAGAACATTTGTCTGTTTGAGGCAAGCCACCTTGATTACCATCGAATGGCCTTGAAGCTGCAAAGTCAATCAGTGAGGGTATCTGCATAGTGAGGGTATCTGCATAGAGGTAGCCTGGCCTTTGTTGCCTGGAGGCACCCTCTGTGGAATAATGTCATGGGAGGGAGAAAGAACATTTGTCTGTTTGAGGCAAGCCACCTTGATTACCATCGAATGGCCTTGAAGCTGCAAAGTCAATCAGTGAGGGTATCTGCATAGTGAGGGTATCTGCATAGAGGTAGCCTGGCCTTTGTTGCCTGGAGGCACCCTCTGTGGAATAATGTCCAGAGTGGGAGAGAGAACTCTTGCCTGTTTGAATCAAGTGTGAATGTTACAATCGGCCACCTTGATTACCATTGAATGGCCTTGCAGCTGCAAAGTTAATAAGTGAGGGTATCGGCATAGAGGCAGCCTGGCCATTGTTGCCTGGAGGCACCCTCTGTGGAATAATGTCCAGTGTGGGAGAAAGAACTCTTGTATGTTTGAGGCAAGTGCAAATGTTGCAATCGACCACCTTGATTACCATCGAATGGCCTTGCAGCTGCAAAGTCAATCAGTGAAGGTATCTGCATAAAGGTAGCCTGGCCTTTTTTGCCTGGAGGCACCCTCTGTGGAATAATGTCCAGGGTGGGAGAA